AAAAAAAAAAAAAAAAAACATACAACCTGCGATAGGAACCTTGAACTTTTCCTCGGATCTCCCATCCATCATATGAACCCTGGCATCAACGCTGGGGCCAGAACCGCTCCCACTGTTCCTTCCCTGCTGGGTCACTGCCTCAGTTTGCTGGATTCAAGACCTCCAAGTCTTGTCCCGGGTTTTGCTTGGGGCACTGGATTTAAGTTAAGGATGTTCAAAGTTTCCATGCATTCAGGACTGGATGTCCTGAGAAAGCTCTTCTGCGGCATACCCTGAAGGCAAGTTAGGGGAAGAAGTTCTAGGGGACACTGGACTAGAATTGCACTGGAAGCTCACAGCATCCCATTCTCTTGAATTGGGTAGATCGTGTAGCTCAGAAGCACAGCAGGTGACATCCCATGCATGCAGCAGCTGAGCTCTTGGCGCTGGATATCTTTGATCGAGCGAACTAACCTGTGCACGAGAGGTGCTGTGGCAGGAGGCAAGAGAAGCTTTTGGGCTCACTGCAACGCAGTGGCCTGTCTTTCTCTGTCTCCACATATCCTGCTCCGTCCTGTCCAAGCACCAAGTGTTTTGCAAGAGATTAGATCAGTCGCCGTCATTCCAGTCCTGCCAGGATGCACCAGATGCCCCTCAGATAGCAACTCTGGAGGAAGGCTCTTCAAAATCAAGAAGGTCACCAACCACTCCAAGGCCGCAACCGCCAGCAGAGTACGGTCCATATCTGATCCAAGGTGCAACACAGAGCCGTGGTAAGCACACCGGTGGCAAATTTGCATACACAGATTTAACTTACGATAATATGTCAAAGCTCTCTGGCCTCTGGCTTTGGCCCAGCTGCGCAGCTGGACCGTAGCCACCATAGCCGCCCCCGTAACCGTCACCACCGTAGCCGCCTCCATATCCGCCACCACCTTTGCCACCACCATAGCCGCATCCGTAGCCGCTGCCGCCGCTGAAGACACCTGGATCTGAGCATCAAGCGCATGAATATGCAATGAAAATTTGAAAAGAGTCCGAGGGAAGGGCCTCCAGGACGGCCTGGTCCACGGCCCATGCCCTTGCCAGGGCCCTGGGCCCAAGGGCCTCAAGCACAAGGTTGGCATCAGCTCGCGGAAAATTCTTGGGGCTGAAAGCAATGATGCGCAGTCCTGGCCTTTCATGTTGGCGCTGAGGGCAGCCCGTGCGAAAGCTAATCCAAAACAATTGCCGCTTCAAAGTCTTGCGGTGGCTAGGTTTGGGGATTTGCGAATGATTCGTGCTGTTAAAGCCTGGCAGAAGTTCACGAGATGAAGGACATTTCAAAAAGAAAGGAGGTTCTTGCAGTGCTGCCGTCATCACTTGCGCAGCGCTCATCGAGGCTATGGTCTCATGCGGCATGCCCCTGGCGCTCATACGCTGCAAGCCAGGACGCCATCATGGACACGCGTCATCTGCAAGAAGAACAAAGGCCCAAACAAGTATGCCAATGGGCCTATGCCAGCTCGCACAGAACAGAGCGCAGTCTCTACGCAAGCAAGACTTCTGGTCAAGTACTGCATCTGCGCAACAGTGTTCGGGCAAGCAAGGTGGCCTGATCGTCAGGCTTTTCCGCAAAAGCTACATCGACCGCCGTGCCTCTGGCACTAAGGGACAGGAGCTGCAGCTGGCAACCCAAATCGCACCACCCAAGCTTGAACCCAAGAAAGGTAATTCCCCAACTAACCCTCCAGAAAGCCACTCCTCCCTGAATCATCTGGGTGCGCGACGCGAGGCGCTGCTGTTGAAGCGCCTGTGAATCTTGCAGGCCTCGGGGGCAAAACCTTCTGGGGCTTCTGATTTCAAACGCCGTGATGGGCGCTTGTCACAGCTCGCCTCGGCCCTGCCAAGAGGCGTCCAGAGATTCATACAGAAACAGTCTGTCTGTTACCCCTCCTCCAACCCCCCGGCCTTTAGCCATTTTTGAAGGCCACCCGCACCAGCAGGGTCTAGGAAAGTGATGCCTCCATCCGTTCCATTCTGACACAATCTGGAAAGGTCGGGAGCGGTGGTGCTGATCCTGCTCCTGATCACTATGATGACTTCACTTGCATTCTGATCACTACCTACGCACCGCCACGTACAGCTGAGCTGAGGTGGAGAGCGCGCGGCAATTTCAAGTACGGTCACCTTTCGAGTATCCTAGAAATTTAGGGCAACCTCATCAAGGCAATGATTTTATTAGCAATCAAAATACACAACAGCTTGAGACATTTCATTTCCGTTTTCAAAACTTTGAACTCAGAGTGCTAAAATGAGCCATTTGAGCAGTCGAAAGCCTCTGCGACTCTAGATTGCCACATGATCGCACAAAGATGGGCGTGCTCGCAACGACCAAGTCTGGGCAATCCCGCACACCCAAACATCCGAGCAGCCTTGATCCCAAGCCTCTAGATTCCGAACCTGATGGTGTCGAAGGCGGCTTCGAAGGAGACTCTCAAATAATTGTGCAAATTCTCGCAACCCATGGAAAGGCCGAAAAGCTCTAAGGGCCTGGCATCGCTGCCGCAGGCAGTGGATGGTATGATCAAATTGCCACTGCCTGCCAAGTCCGAAGGGTATGCTTCTGTGTCCAACGCCATCAGGTTGGGCGCAAGTCTGGGTTTGAGAAAGAATTGTGGCAAACAATTACACAGGCCAGCTTACTCTCGCAGAAAGTGAAGAGCAAAAGAAAATGTCCAACAACAAAACCGATTAGCTTCAAAATATGTGTTGCTGCTACCACGCGACCTGTATCGAAGACGACCTCAAACTCCTGAGGTGGCGTCCTGCCAAGCACACATTGCCCGCTGCAGAACCCGAATATTCTGCTGCTATCTTAGTGCACATGGATTCTCGGGGAAATCTTTCAGGCAGCCACCTTACACTTCCAAAACCAAGCCATGACGAACCAGACATGATGCCTTTGGCAAGTCATGCGGGATGCTGCTACACCTGAACGAAGTCGCAATGATATATGCGAAGCTTATCCAGGAATTCTACGGCAGTTGTGACAGGGCCACTCTCAGGAGGAATCTTGACAGCGCACTCCAGTCGGACATTGACAGTGGCATTATGTTGAGGGTTGAAAAAGTGAGTCGCTCGGCACGATGAGAGTCCGTGACGCACCGTGCCAGGGCATGGATTGAGAGGAGGCCGGGCGCAGATCTGCGCTAGGCCGCAGCGTGCCCTTGTCAAACTCATTCTGAAACTTGAGCTTCAATTCATCCAGCACTTCGGCAGCAGCCCTGAAGAAATTATTCGCTACGGTCGGGTCCCTGATGTCGACCACCGTGTTCGCAACGGTCTTTCTCTCTCGGGTTGAGCCATCGGTTCTCATCATTCAGCGTGATGCTGAACCCTCTGTCAACAATATGGAGATGGTCGTTGATGAACTTATCGGCAAAAATCTGCGCGGCTTGCCTCACTCGCTCGATTGCATCTCCGTTCATAGCCTAAGCTGCCTGGCGAGCGAAATGGCACAAGCACTGCCGTCCTAACCGAACGAGTCAGCTTGAGAAACTGTAAGGCAATTGGTGCAAATGAGGTCACTGGCAAACATGATCCCCATTTAGAGAGAAAATTTTGAAGGCAAGGCCCTCTGTTCACGATTGCGTTTACCGGCTCTTTGAGAATTCCTGGCCACATCAACATGCACAAGTCCCGAGCTGGAGGATGCCGTAATACTCGCTGGCTTGTGAGGCCTGCAAGCTTCAAGGGACACTGCTGCTTCAGTTCCCAGTGCCCAGAATGGTTTAAGCCTTCTGTGCAAAGCTCCCATACGAGCTGCTGCGTCAATCATGCACTTAAAACTACGCCGTGTCAGCACATCCACATGAGTCTACGCTAACTTTGGTCTTAATGCAAATTTGCCTATCATCTCCTGGTGCTTATATCCTTCTCGCGTGGCTAGGGGTGTGTGACTCTTCTTGAATGCACTGACTATGCCAGCCCGCCGATTACTGTACGCTCTGCTAGATTATTACACAAACAACAAAGTCCATGGCAATACGAAAACGTTCGACATCTGGCAGCCCAAACACTGAACCTTCATCATGCAAACCAGGCGGCCGAGGAATGTGATTGCTCCCTCTGTGGCGCACGTTTCCGAAGCCTGGACGTAAGCGCTCACGGTTTGACGCTAACGTTCCGGCGCCTCGAAATGGAACCCAACAGTCACAACCGAAATGTTGAAACAAAGCCCCTACACAACCCCTGAACAGGCCACGACAGGCAGCAAGGTCATGTTAATAGGAAGACATGACGTTGACTCCTGTCGCGTGGCGTGGGTCCAGCTTCAAGTTCCACTCTAACATGACACATCATGACACCAGTTTGGGATGTGATCTATTCAAACAGATGTAAAGGTAATTACAATGAAAACATTCAAAGGGACCATCGATGTCCATTAGAGCTCTGTTGATCTGCAGAAACCTCAACCACTCCAGGTCTCACTTGTAGGCCGTGTTTCTCTGGGACGGGAAAACTTGCGTGAGAAGATGTGAGATGCCTTGAACCCGCGAGCTCAAGCCAACTCAGTTCTGAATCAACGGATGCATTCCTGCAAGGTTCCAAATCCACCAGCTCGGGGAGACTGCAACCTAGAACGGACGCTTGGCTTGCACAAGTAAGATCCTTGATGATCACCGTGACCCCGCCGCCTCGTGCTGCTTCTAAGGCTGCCCTGCTCAGTGAAGCTGACGGCCTGGACAGGTCTCAAACTTGAGAGAGACGGAGAGAGAGAGAGAGAGAGAGAGAGAGAGAGAGAGACTGTTCGACAGTGAGTGAGCTTGCAAACTGGGCTTCAGCTTGCTGGCGTTGGGCTCGTGAAGTACCTGTAGCAGTCACAGGTCCAGTTTGTTTTTGAGACGGCAGACCTGGTGCTACCATGCAGATCACAATAACAAACAACGAAGGAAACATGACCTCAATTATTAGGTCGAAGGACGTACAGAGCATGTCTCAGGTTCCACAGCAAAGTAGTCTTCACCAGGAAGAGCCATCTTTTCGTCAAGCAACGGTGACATGTCGGGTCTCTAACTGCTCACGCAGAGTGAAAAGACTGAGGGTTGCCACACAAACTCTGGAATCCTGCGCCTACCTATCCTGAGATCTCGGGGAGGCTGAAGGTGCCGCTGAATCTGGCCTCTTCGACTCTATAACTAAGCCCTTTCGACATTTCTAATCACAAAAGTTGGATCAGAATGACTGGGCTCAAAGATTCGATGGCAGTCAGCCAGGCTTCACAGTTCTCCACGGCCAAGCCAGACAGCGGGTCAGTCAGCCTCCGGCCTCCCACACAGCAAAAATGTAAGCTGCCGTCAGCTAAGCTGGCTGCAGACTTGGTTGAAGGACAGTAGACAGTAGTCCATCAGGCGCCTCTGGAATGTGATGCAGAGATCCAGTGGCCGCTGGTGTATTATGGATGGGGATGCATACGTACACTAATAAAAACCAGTGGCCGCAGGAGCCTGTCTGACCCCTAGCTCAAGCCACAGACTTACAGGTTCTACCCGCTCAGGGCTCGCAAACTTTGTGATTCATTCAAACAAGAAGTCACTGTCACGTGTCATATTCCTGACTTGCCTCTGTCCCATCACGAACTGATTGTAGATAGCCTGGTCGGACCAAACCCTCTCATGCCGTGTGGAGTTGTGGAGACTTCACAACTTCAGTCTCCATTCCTTGACTTGTGGTCACCGCTGTCAATGTCAGAGTCAAGAGCTGCATCTGCGGATTAGTCCAGTTCAAAAACCCATCAATGGGTGGCTGCTCAAGATTGCTCTGCATTTGTTGAACATGGCCCCGTAAGCTTCCAAAATCCAATGATCCATCAACCAAAGGAGTTGCATACAACTGCACAAGGTGCCCCATATGGCAGGAATCACATGCAGGTTGAGGAGTGCACCCTGTCAAACATCAAACTTATCTTGTCAAGTCTTCTACCTGCAAGCTTCAGCCAACCGAGCACCGGGAGCCTCCCGCTGGCGGCAGTAGGTGTCATCATCAACTCCATCCTTGTCACGCTCATCGCTTCTTCATTTGAGGCAGGGGAGAGACAGCGCAAGGCTCAGGAATAAAGATTCGAATGGGAATGAAAGTGCGACATTTTGATGTGGGCAAGCTGGGCAGGTTCTGCGTCTGCTGGAGTAGCACATCCCTTCCGTTTCTGTGTCGGAACATGTGGAGGCGTTTGGCAGCAAAGGTGGGTCTTCTGGCGGAGGCTGCAATCTCCAGTCCCTCAGCTGTTTAAGGCCTGCAACGCAACAACGCAATTGCGCACAGAATGCCGGTCGCCCGTCCTTCTGCGCCGCCGCTTGTTGGGCAGAGAGGACATCCTTGGAAGCACGAGTCGGCAATGCACCTTTGACCTTAAAGCTCAGACGATACCCTAAAACCCTAAAACCTAATATCCTTGTACTCTGATCAAGTTTTGCTGAGCATAGAACTTGGCCTGTACAAAATGTTCGTTGCGCATCGTATCAAGGCAGCCAAGGCTCGATAAGAGATGCACCTTGCAGGAAAGGCAAGACAAAGCACAGAGGCACGTGCATATGCTGCATATAGCATGCCTGAAGGCTAGGGCCCCCTTCTTAAGATAGAGTGCTTCAGTGACCACCACGGGGCGGACACCCTCACAACCACACATACCTCAAGTTCCCAAACCAATGCTCACATTAATCTGCGACTGGCCGAGAGCACACTCTAACTCCTCTCGCTTACCTCACCTAGTCCCTGCAACGAGAAGAAGCAATTTTGGGGTACTCACAAAATCTAACCAGTGGAACCTTCCTTACGAATCTTTCAGGAAAGAACGACTCTGCCCCAGAACAACTCCCTGGAAATCATTTGAAATCGATGCCATTTCTCAAGTGAAAACTGTATCCGCCTGTCGGAGCTGCATCATTGGAGGGCATGAGTCTCGCTTTGGAGCTCTCCTGGAGTTCATTGCTTGGTAAGTTGAACGGGACTAATAACTAATCAACCATCCCAGCTGCGATACGAGTCTCATTATCACAATGAATTTGAATCAACGCTGCAAATGCATTCCAAAATTGCAATCTTGCCAGCAACGCACAGAAGTCCAGCATCCCATGAAGACTTTTCCAACAGGTCAGTGGACAGGAGTCTGCAATCTAAGTTTGTAGTATGCGTCAGACAGCAATTCTTGTTGTGTCTGTGTCATGACATGGTAGAATGTGAGTCTGCACTGGTGCCCCTTTTTCCAACTCCATGGCTGCAACTTGCGAGCGCGACCGTGGCATGCTCCTGACCTCAGTGAGGTTGAGCTCACAGTCACGCTTTGGAGGGTGATCCGCTCTGAAAACTCGGCAGGAGAGATATCGAGCCGCCGACCCGCTGGCTGAGGCTGCTCAGTATTGCAGCATAGGGCGAGCATTTTTGAGGGTCCTGAACTCTGCCACACAATGCAGGAATGCGGGTGATGTGCGGACATGGCAAAAAGATGAAACAGTATATCCAGTCCACCTTTTCGTTTGCGTCAGGAGACAATGACAAGGCATGCATTGAGTCACCTTCTGCCCTGTGGCAGGATGATGAACGGGAAGAGTTGCAACTGCAGAATCCCTGAATCCCCTGACCTTCTCCTCTGAGAAGTAGTCGAACCAGCAGCGCAGCTCCCGAGCTCGGCGCTGCAGCTCCAGGACCCCGGTAGCATCATAATCCAAGAGGCCTTCCGCAGACGATGACACTAAAAAACATTTGTCACTGTGGTACTTCTAGTCTCGCCTTAGTGCTGTATACTCTACCATCAACCGGACACTCAGCTGAGACCTTGGAGGTAGCTGTAGAGGCTGAGGTCCTTGGCAAACTCGCACGACCCTCAGACTAAGCAGGCCCTGTATAAACTTGAGCGGGCTGGGCGCGAGACGGCTCTCTCCATGGGCCACTGGATGCTGAATTCTGACCAGTTCACCACGTGGTCAAAGGGCAAGCCTGAATCACCAGACAGGTCTGAGCGGTCTGAGGGTCGCAACACTTTGTCCATGCAATCAGACCAAGCGCCAAAATGCGGCTAAGAGGCGCAGGTGATCAGAAAGGATCACTGGAATGCATCCAGCAAATAAGGCTTCAAAGACACGAGAGGTGTATGAACTGGCTCCTTCGCGCAACCCATCGCTCTTATCCCGCAACTGCCGCTCCGCACCCTCAACACCCGGACCGTCCAGCCCCAAGTGTCCTTTCGGGCACAGACAGAACTTGGAGTCAGCCATGAGGTCCGCATACCCAGACACCGGGGAGCCAATGGAGACATCTGGAAGGTGGCCTCAGGCATCCCAGGAAGAAACCCAACTCCAAGGTTGCTCCAAACTGCAAAACGCTCTCACCCAAAGCTCCCAAGCTCCGGATCACCCCCTGATCAGAGTCCAAGGCACTGAGGTTGTGGATCAGCGAGGTGCGGACGGTTTCGTTGGTGATTACGTAGGCCCGGCGCACCTCTGGGAGCCCGGACTCTGCGTGCTGGCCCCTCCAACTCCTTCAAGCTCAGCAAGAAAGGCTCAGCCTTGCCTAAACCCAGTGCGCTTCAAACTTGATGAGCCCGTGACATGAGGAACTTGCGCTCGTGAAATGGCTTGGATCTGGCCATCATGCTGCCTCGTCTTTTCTGAAGACGCTCTCATCATCCCGTCACCCCCCTTAGAAAAGAACCGGCAAGCCCAAGCACGGCTTCTAGTCGTAGACTCTGAGAAGACAAGCAACGCACGATTGTCAGAGGCGTCACAGGTGGAACCACCAGGTCTTTCCAGGGTTGGAAGCAGTCCTTGCAGTGCCAGCCTCAGCATTTGCATTTGCTGCAGTTGATGTTCTAGGCTCAAAGAATTGTGCCAGGCAGGCGGGAATGCAGGGAGCTTGAGACTATTGCGATCACAGCGGGGTTTGTGTAGATTGGACATGTGCGAGATTTTAAGAAAGCCACGTCAACAGACAAGGGAAATGCGTACCTTACAATGTCGTGCTCCCCACGCAAGTAATACTAGCAAAACTACTACGAACTGGCTGAGCACAGACAAATCTGCAAGATGGCACATGTCATAAAGATTTTATTGCATCTCCAGCTCTGAAACTGTGTAGCCGGGTGAAAACTGGTCAAAAGCAAAGCTCAAAAGTCCATAATCTACTCAATTCAACCTACAAAGACCTACAGGCGGCTCACAAGTTGGACTTGAAGAAGTCCACCATGTGTTTCCTGAGCTGCATTGGGCTGGATCTTGTAAGCAACCATAAAACCCAGAAACCAAAACATCTAAGCTTGCGAACCTGAATGCCGCCCGTTGACTTTTCTGAGCAATATGTACCCCAACTCCAGACCACAACCTCAGAACATCTCGTCCAGAAACCGGCGGGCAATCTTTTAGTCGCAACCTACAGCCTTAGTCACCACCTGCAGCCTCCAAAGAAGTATTCCTACTGTAGCACTAAAACTCACCTCATTTTACTATCACAGGCTTGGTGCGTCAATCTAGCCTGCCTTCAAAAGAGTCTGCGTAGATTTTGCGCCCAGACTCATCGCCGCCTCAACGTCACGCTTCACCTCTGCCTGCGCCAAATCTCCGCGGCAGCACCACCCGTGCTGCATGTCCTGCAGGGTTTGTGACTTCTCTCCTGACTGTGGTTTGAGGATTCACACGTGGTAGCTCAACGTGCGAAGTTTAGACACTCAAGCGCTTGGATTCCTTGGAACAC